ATCTCACGAAAGGGAACTCACACCTGAAAAGCTCGACAAAAGAAGACTTAGAAAGTAAGACATACTCTCAAAGATGAAGGACTCAAACTTGGTAACTGCACTGGATGACTTAGGAGGTAAAAATTCATGGCAAGTAGCTCAAAGTACTTAAAATGTAGCAATAGCTGGAGATGTTTGTAAGGCGTGAAAGCAATCCCAGTGGAAAAGGTTTCTTGGGTTGGTGGGGAGGCAGGAGAAAAGGTTTTTCTATATAGGTCTGTTTTTTAACCCCTGAAAATAGTGTCACCAAATCTGAAATTAAATTGAAATAGTTTTCACAAGTAACAAAAAGTTATTACGAAACTAAAGCAAGCTAAAAAGGTATAATACAGACTCTTATCCTTTTAAAGCTAAAAGGAACTGTACAGAACATCTAATTCAGCACTTAAATTTTGTCTACAACTGAGTTCTAAAAAGTAACTTTTCTGAGGCCCCACGGTAATAACTTTATAGTTTTTAGTTCTAGTTTTAAAAATGTACACAAGGATTACTTATTTTTTATAAAATATAAAATATTCCATACTAGCTGAAATCTCCCCCTCCCCCCCAAAGAAAATCAGACTGGCGTCATTCAACACATTGGTTTGTATTAATTCTTAGTTGAAAGAGAAAGAGAGAGAAAGGTAGGTTGGGAAAGGTCCATAAATAGAAAACCTATCCACACCAGAATGACAACATACTAACCATAATGCTTTGTAAATTATGGACCTTAATATAATATTTTTCTATATCAATAAGCACATACAGCATAATTTTTTAAATTACTGACTGGAGGAAGCAACTAACTTTTGTAATTTTTGTAATTTTTTATACTGATATCTTTTAAATAGTAAACATTTAAATACTGTGCAAATGAACACAGAAATAATATAAAAACATGAACACTGCCACAGGTTTAATGATGACACCACTTATTTTCATATTATATCCTAAATTTCCATATGCATATAAAATAAAAGGTAGACTGAAAGATCTCTAAAATTCCTCTGACCTCCAAAATTGTAACATATTAGACATATTTTATATATTTTTCTCTAGTTTTTCATAAGACTTCCTATAACTATTTATTTTCTTAGTAACTTTCAAGTTTATTTTTACTTCATTGAAGAACAGTTTAACAAACTGCACTATAAAAGGTTTCTTATTCACATAAGCTTATTTAATACTTATAACAATGTAAGTAACATGAAAATTAAGGCATCTGTTCAATATCCCATAGCTGTGAGTAGAGAGAACGGAATTAAGACTCATGGGCGCACAGCCCCAAAGATTCTGCTCCTCTCATTACATCAAGCCGCCTTTCTTAATGCAGTCACCAAGGCACTCAGTAAGCGTCTATTACAACAACAGGATGACTGCACAGGGAAACATTCACTGAAAAGGACTGAGGACATGCACACACGGGTGAAAATACAAAAACTATGCAGGAGAACAAATCAATAAATAGGCTAATAGAAAACAAACCCAATTTCTAAAGTGAGGGATGAAAAATGGATATGAGTTTAGAACAAAAAGGAACTAGATGAGGGCCAAATGCAAACTTTTCTACCTTTTTGCTTTTAATCAGTTTGTATTTTGGTTTGGCTTTGTGGTCCATTTATTTAAGAGGGATTGTTCATAATAATTTAGTATTGGTTTTTTTTTCTTTTCTTTTTCTTTTTATTTATTTAAATATATTTTATTGATTATGCCATTACAGTTGTTCTATTCCCCCCTTCATTCCCCTCCACCCTGCACACCCCCTCCCCCACCATTGCCCCCCTTTAGTTTATGACCATGTGTCTCAAGTTCTTTAGATTCTATATTTCCCATACTACTCTTGCCCTCCCCCCTATTTTCTATCTACCATCTGTGCTACTTATTTTCTGTACCTTCTCCCCCCTTCTCCTTCTCCTACTCCCCTGTTGCTAACCCTCCATGTGATCTTCTTTTCTATGGTTCTGCTCCTGATCTAGCTGTCCTGTTAGTTTGCTTTTCTTTTAGGTGTGGTTCTTAATAACTGTGAGTTTGCTGTCCTTTCACTGTTCATCTTTTTTATCTTCTTTTTCTTAGGTAAGTCCCTTTAACATTTCATATAATAAGGGCTTGGTGATGATGAACTTCTTGAATTTGATCTTATCTGAGAAGCACTTTATCTGTCCTTCCATTCTAAATGACAGCTTTGCTGGATAGAGCAATCTTGGATGTAGGTCTTTGGATTTCATGACTTGGAATACTTCTGTCCAGCCCCTTCTTGCCTGTAAGGTCTGTTTTGAGAAATCTGCTGACAGTCTGATGGGAGCTCCTTTGTAGGTGACTGTCCCCTTACCTCTTGCTGCTTCTAGAATTCTCTCCTTCATTTTAACCTTGGTTAATGTAATGATGATGTGCCTCGGTGTGTTCCTTCTTGGGTCCAACTTCTTTGGGACTCTGTGAGCTTCCTGGATTTTCTGGAAGTCTATTTCCTTTGCCAGATTGGGGAAATTCTCCTTTATTATTTGTTCAAATAAGTTTTCCACTGGTGGCTGTTCTTTTCCCCCTTCTGGTACCCCTATAATTCGGATGTTGGAACGTTTAAAGATGTCCTGGAGGTTCCTAAAACTTTCCTCATTTTTTTGAATCCTTGTTTCTTCATCCTTTTCTGTTTGGTCATTTTTTTCCTCCTTCTGGTCCACTCCTTTGATTTGAGTCCCAGTTTCCTTTCCATCACTATTGGTTTCCTGTGCATTTCCCTTCATTTCAATTAGTTTAGCCTTCATATGTTCCTCTAATTTGTGACTAAAATCAACCAGTTCTGTGAGCATCCTGATCACCGGTGTTTTGAACTGTGCATCTGAAAGTTTGGCTATTTCTTCTTTGCTTAGATTTATTGGCTCTGGGGCTCTGAGTTGTTCTTGAGCCATGTTTTGATTTGTTCGCGCCTGTTACGTATGAGGAGGTGTTCACCAGGGTGGGGCCACCCAGGTCTCTGGTTTGTGACGCTGTATGTGGGGGTGGGCTCAAAGGGGGGCAGTAGTGGTCCCCTCCGCCGCTTCCCACCACTGGGTCCTGCATGGTCTGTCTCACTGCTCGCTCCTTCACCGGTTTATCTGTGTGCGAATATGTGACCACAGTCAGCCCTCAGTGGGTCCACCCACTACTCCACACCTGGGATCCGCCCACGGCTGCTGGCACACCTGGGTCGCGTGCCCAGGTTGGTCTGGTGGATCTTTCCTGCCCGACCCTGCTCTGCTGCTGGCTCTGCCCCTCTTACCAGTTTGGCTGAAGGGTTCGTTGTTGTCAGACTTCTGTATAGTTCAATTTTCTGTGCTTTGGCTGTGTTTTTGTTGCTAAAACCTTGTTGTTTTTAAACTTGGTTGTGCGAGAAGGCGCAGTGCTTCCACCTATGCCTCCATCTTGGTGAAGTCCCTCTTTTCTTTTTAAATCTTCACCAGTAAATCAAAGCTCAACGATTTGGCCTCTGGGAAGACTTCCTCCATTGTTGTCAGACACAGTCAAGGGCCCTCTTTCATGATCGGTTTGATCTGCACTCTGGCTCTGTTTACCATTAGTTTTCCAGACTCTACCCTCCTCTTCTGTGTTGGCTTTGTTCTCCTCATAATAATTCAGTGTTGTTTGAATACTAATAATAAGAATGATTTCCTGTTACTTTAGAATGACTTTTAAATGTTTATGAAACTTAAAGAGAAATAATGTTACAAACACATTTAGCTCACTTGAAAAAAAGGTTCTAAATTAATAATGAAAAATATTTCCTATGACTATTATATAATTCATTGATGTGGCAAAGAGGTGTTTTTTTTTTTAACTATTCTGAATGGAAGAAGACTGTTAATGAATTACTTTTAAATACAAGATACTAATAACCCACTTTCTTTGACTTAAGTGTGATTCAGTCAGCTGAATATTCATTCAAAAGACTGACATCCAACCTTCTCTGCCCAGGTGCTATGGCAAGTCAATTAACGCTGCTGACTGACTGTGGTCCCTAACCTCGTGGAAAGAGATGATACCGAAGGTGTGGTCTCCTGTGCAAAGAAATCAATTTAGTTCCCAATGGGAATTATCTGCATATATCTACATGTGTTTTTAGTATCTCAAAGGAATTAATGTTACTGTGGGTCTCAGTAGAGATTCACAAATGATTTTCAACATGCTTTATTATTTCTTAAGAAGATGTTAAGTGATATACACTTAAGCCTTGAAAAAAGTCAAAGCCAGGTATTTGCATTCCAAGAAAAGTAAAATGATATTTCTTGGAATTTGGCACTCATAGCTTTGGGTCTACTTTTATTTTTATTGCCAGCCTTCTGCTTCAGCCCCCACGTGACGCATCTGTAGCCTAGTGTGAGGTTTAATCAAAACCTAGAGGTACTTGTTGCTTGAGGTGATGAAGGCTGAGACACGAAAAAATGACCCTCTGACACTCGGGTGTGTACCCGCATTACCCAAGGTGGATGTTTAAGAAAAGACTGCCAGCCCCCGCTCCTAATGAGTTTAATTCCACAGGTTTACGTGGCACTCAGGAATCTGTGTTTTCAGACAGAACACATTTTGGCAAACACTGACCTCCCCCCACTGATTACCATCATCACAGAACTGAGTTCTTATTTTGTCTGCTGTTTCTCAAAAGTGCCAGAACTATTGATAATTGTTTTGATATTCTGATGTAAAACTATATGCTGATCTCCACAGCATATGTTCTAAATTAATATATACACCCATCCTTCTTTCCACTTCCTACTAGATAAATAGATAAGTGGAGAGATACAAAGTTAGACATAGAAAATAGATCTATCCACCCATTTTCATCAGGGAGTCTGCCTACAAAGTGGAAAGCAATTCAAGTGATTCAACATTTTCTGCCTATGAGAAATACTCTAAAATTCTGTACTAAAATATCAAAAGAAAAAAGCTACCACTGAGAGAAATCCCTGGACAGTCCCCTGGACTTTAGTTATCAGTAACAGTAGTTGGCTTACCTGCCATCCCGCTGAGCAGCACCACCTTCTGTTACTGTCTTGACAAATATTCCCAGCTTTTCAAGTCCAGCATCTGCTCCAACACCCATTCCAATAATACTTATGCCAAGTCCATCCTCATCTACAGAAAAGGAGGAAAAATACAATGGTAAGCATTACACCGGGCTGCAATGGGCTGGTGAGCCCTTTACCGCGATTTTGCTCTTTGTGGACTATCACATAGTCCACAGCGTATACACTTGCCTGGGCAGAAATTTTTTCTATGCTGGGAGCACAGGTATCAAATAAGAACCCTCCAAAAACCTCAGAGTTCAGTGTCATCTTATTGCTGCAGTTGGCTAGGTAAGTGATCCTGAGAAAAGGTAATAATCTGAATAGTATGTAATCAATCTGCCTTAAAAACATGGCCTCTCTAAGCAATATAATATTTTAAGTACAAAAGCATACATAGTTAAATACATATATATCCTTTTGTTTGTTTGTTTTGGGAAGGTAATAGAATTCTTGAGTCATACCTTTTTTCTTAAGAAAAGAATATACTTTTGTCTTTTAGTCACTTGAAGGCTTGTCTGATTTTACTTCCATTAGTTACTCAATTTTTTTTGCCCCGTTTTCACAAATAATTTTCTGAGGTTCAGTAATTTTATAGTGATATAACTCTAGGTTGATTGTTCTGGCTCAACTATCCCTGGCTGAGCCATATATATTATTTTAAATAAATGTGATCATAATATATTTAGAATTTCCCCTATATGTATGTGGTCTTTTTTATTTGTTCTATATTCCTATTCATGTTCCTAAGATGGTAAGTGTCTTTTAGTATTTATTCTGTCCTTCTATAAGGATATAATATCAAAAACTATGGTACACATATGGCTTGCTTTTCTTTCCTAATTGCTTTACACAAATAAGGTCATATGATACCTAGTTCTCTCTTCAGCTTACTTTGCTAATTCAGTAATACCTCATGGGTATCAATTTACATAGCTTTAAATCACTTCTGATGATTGCGTAGTATTTCATGGTGAGATGGTATCGTAACATATGCAATCATTTCTCTTCTGACAGGCATTCATGTTTTCTTTTTTTTTTTTCATTTTATTAGCCCCATGAATGATACTGACAAACACCTTGTTGCTTTTTAATTTTTTTAAAACTATTTTATTGGTGTTCAAGTACAGTTGTCTGCATTTCCCCTCCACCACCCCCCCAAACATGTTGTTTTTAATTCACTTACAAATTATGTGTTTCTGCATATTGCCATTTGTCCTTTCTATGAACATATATGGTGTATTTTCACATCAATGAACTAAATGATACACTATCTTGCTTTCCACATTTTCTGGTTAACATTCAAAGACATGTTCTGAAAGCCTCAAAGACTTTGTAATGATGCTATAGTGGCTGCATAAAAAATAGATACTAGCTCATCAACAGTGGTGGGCTATTAAAGGGAACCTGGCTCATGTACTCAAGAGAAGGCTGGATGCTTTTAAGAGACTTTTGAACAATAACCTTTGACTTAGTAAGTATTCTTAATTAGTAATCTTCTGAATTGGATTCATCTCATGGATCATCACTTGTCACCAACTTCTGCTTTAAGTATTTCTAAGTACAATTCATAATCTCACCTCCTAAATAAAAATGTGTTAAAATATGTCAATTGGCCAAAGTGGGATTTATTTGCTCTGCTGTGTGCTGAAGAAGGATTTACGGAGTGTTCTCCCCCAAGAAACAGCCTGGTGTGGGCCCCGGCTGCAGGCACTTCCCCACCGGTCTGGGCACAGACAGCTCTCCAGGGTGAGAACTTGAGTGCTGACTAATGTACAAGTGGCGGCCGGAGACCTTCCTTCATTTCTTACATCTAGAATGTTGGCACACATGTATGTAACTTCTCATATTTATTTAATTCCAATTGATCATCCGGAGGCTGTTTCTTGCTAAATGTTCCTGTATTCATTGCAGTTTTAGGGTCTCTTTCAAGAATGAATTTTCTTGTGCACATGAATGTGTGGTCTGGGTTGAAGGTTCTCCCTTACTGATTTACAAGCATCAAGTTCCTTCTCTTCTACACAAGTTCTCTTATGTGTATAGAGATTAGCTGTGTGGCTGAATTCTTGCCCACATTCATAGGCTTTCTACAAAGTGTGCATTGGTTCATGTTGATGAAGGGCTCAGCGAGGACCGGAAGCCATGTTTCCATCAAATGAGCTCTTGCACTGTTCAAGAGATCACTGTAGATTCTCCCAAACTGAATAAACCCTCATAGGGTTTCTCTCCTGTATGAAATCTCTAGTATCTGTTAAACATTAGCTGAGTTCTCATTCCCATTCTTTGTATTTATAGAAGCTTTTCTTCATTATGAATAACCACATGCTGAGCCAATGTGCAGCTGTAAATAAAACTTTTCCTTTCAAAGTCAACTCTCTGTACTTTTATGCCATTCGATAGTTTCTTTATGCAAATATTTTGCATGAAAATTACGTCTTAGTTTTTAAATCCATTTGCCCTTCCTGGACTCAGGCTTTAGTAAAATTATCTCTCTTCCTCCTGTTGCCCTAACTGGAAAATTACTCAGTCTTGCAGAGCTGAAAACCTGATTGTGGGAAATATTCATTTGAGCCATCCTTCATTTCAGCGCAGAGTACCTGAAAGACATGGTGATAACTAAAAGGCAATTAAAAGAAGAGCATAATCAACCCTTCTTGGTTGAGACCGGAGGACTGCTCTCAGCCCTGTCCAGTTTTCTCTGAGATGTATCAAGCGTGGGTGGAATCCAGAGCCACATACCTGAAGGCCTCTGATTCTTGCAGCACCCTAGTCTTCCTCTGCACATACCCACCTAGGGAAGGGCATAAGGAGGGAAAGCAGCCAGGGAAAGGTGGAAAAGACTGAGGCTGTGTTATTACAAAGGATGTTATCACCATACTCTGGAGTTCAGAGCTTATTTTCTCTTTCAGGAAAGCAATTCCTGTTGGGTTAGCAGTACTCCCATTTCTAGTGATAAATTTGAGCTTGCATTAATATGAGTGTGGGCCATTAGATTTCTTCTTCACTAAATTGCCAATTTTTCTACTGAGTTCACTGTGTAACTTCACAGTGCCTTTTACTGTGGGTGGGATATGCATTCCTCATCCATTGAATTTGGGATGGGTGAAATGACTTGCTTTGGTCAATGGAACATAGAGGGAAATAACTGTGTGCAATTTGTCAGCAGATGCCTGGAGGAGAAGCATACTGAGCTTCCACATAAACTCCCGAGCGCCTGTGATCCATGAATAAAACAGCACTGTGCACTGTCGGTGGGAATGTGAATTGGTGCAGCCACTGTGGAAAACAGTATGAAGGTTCCTTGAGAAACAAAAATAATTGTACTTTATTTGGTGCTCTTCCAGTTTAATCTTTCCAGTTTAACTTTTATTATACAATATAGCATACAAACAAAAGTTTTGCAAAATCATTTATCTACAAAAGGTGCTTAAAAATATAACAACCACACATGTACTGATAAAGACACAGAACACTAGCAATACCCCAAAAGGCTACTCTGCACCCCTCCCCAATATCCAACTCTCTCCTCAGTAACCATTATCCCAAATGGTATGCCAATTGTTCCCTCCTTTTCTTAGCCGTGCCTTTTAAAACCACTTACGTGTGTATCTCTAAACAATGTAATGTTCAGTTTGTCCTCACTTTGAAATTTAAACAAATGGAATTATATTAAATGACTTGTGTGATTTGTTCACCCCACCTCTCAATTTTATATTCGTAGGAATCATACATAATGGAACTGTAGCTCCTTCATTTTACTGCTGAATAATATTTTATTGAATAGATAGGCTATAATTTACATATTCTTTTCTATCATTGAGAAATACTTGGATTGTTCTTATTCTGGGTATGACAGCCAATACCATGGCCCACAGCCCAATCCAGCTGTATATGCCATGACCTAAAAAAAAGTTTTACATGTTTATGGATAAAAAATGCAAGCAGCATTCTTACATTCTATTTAAGGTCAAATGAAAGTGTCATTTAACAGGAATGAGTAAGACATTCAACCTTCATGTCATGACTGGTATTCTTTATTTTTTTTTCATGCAACCAATTTTATGCCTACTACTATTTACATAGTTTTCGGCTCCTTTCCCCTCATTTTTGCTGATTTCAATAACTTGCTTGTCATTTCTCTCCCTCCCTACTGAAAGTTATGTGGGTGGTGGGTTCTTTAAAGTCTCCTGTGTCAGCAAATTTCCTTCTTTCCGCTCTGGGATGGATGTAGGATTCTTAGACCACCACCTCTTTCTTCTCAGTGGGATGTGAAATTGTTATGTATGTCTCCCCACTTGCAGTGTGACAAGTGACAGGTCTGATGACAGTCTAATAATATTTGCTTTTGCAAGTACCTTCACTCTTGGTTTGCCTGGATTTTGGCCTGGTACTTTGTAAGGTTTTCACTGTATGTTTGAAGATTAGGATTTCCCCCAGCTTATGCTTAAGTGTTTTTAAGCATAAAAACACTTTTTAAGTTCTTGCAACCAGTTGGCCAAGCCCTTTCAATATGGGGATCAGGTCTTCTTTGAGCTCAGAAAAAATCTATTTCTTGTCTAGTATATCTTTTATCCCCTATTTTTATTTCCCCTTCTGTTACCTATAATATGCATGTGGGGTCTCCTTCACAATTTTTCTTGGATTTTTGCTGTCATTTGAGAATTAGTTTAGGACATTTCTTATGCTTGAACTTCTACGTCAACGACAATCATCCTTTCCTCTTTAATTCTTCTACTGACATTTTTATTTTAAAAAATCAGCACAAAATTTTATATTTTTGTGTTGATTTAAAAAACAAATTAAAACAAATTTTTTAAATAAAATAAAATAAAAAAATTTAATCTTATTTTTGTTATTGTTTATTTGATTAAGAATTCCTTATTAAAGCCATACTTTAATATCCTTATTTGGTTTTCTGTTTCACTGTTTTCTTTTTTTGTTATTCAAGGCATCATCTGTTCTGCTTTTTTCCTAAAACTCTGAGGTGTGATATTCTTCTGTTCATTGGTCAGAGTCCAGTTCCCAGCTTCCCACTTACTTGACCATCAACATAACAGCCTCTGGTCCTGTGGTCCCCAGTCTCTGCAGCAGGCAGGCTGTGATCCCAGGGAGCGGATTCAAGGGGAAGCCACTCTGTTCTGGGTCTCCCTGCTCTCCTTTAGCCCTTCCCACTTCAGCAATGAAGAGGATTCCACTGCCTTCGATCCAAAACCGGAAATTTTTGAAAAGCCTCGCACTCCCCAGATCTACCACATTCGGAATCTAACCATGACCACTCTCCCTCCACCAAAAAAGCAAAACCCAAAACCCCAACCACCTACCACCTGCCCCAATTCTCACATGCAGCAGCTCCCTCTGGGCTGCCACCTGGGCAGCCCTTTGCCGCAGTGCCAACCAACCAGCTGGGCTCACTCATGCCTCCCTGCTCTTAGCCACTGTCCAGCCAACGAATGCAGATGAGTTTCAGTTAGAAGTAAAGGGTAGAGAGAATCTTTCAATCCACCATCTATATAAAACTGAGATCGACTACTTTTGAAGTTTAATTAATAAACTCCTGCACGAGAATTAAAACTCAACCCAATCCTTAAGGGGGGAAAAAGCTACACTTAGGAAAAATCAAGTCATTTCTGTATTATTGACATAGCAGTATAACATTATAAACATTGTAGAGCTCATATACCTTTCTCCAGTTCCACTGGGAAAAGATCCAGCTTTTCTACACGCTTTTCAAGTTCATACTCAGCTGACGCAGCCACTGGGTCAACCTCATCATTCCTCCTGTCGTAGTCTTCGTTGGAGTATGTGCTGAAAACCTGTAGGAAGAGACCAACGAAAAGATGACAATTAAAAAGATGGCTTTCTTAAACACAAAGAAAAATCCAAGTACACAAGCATATGTAAGTTAAAAATTTTGCATTCTGAATTTCATCTAAACAACTGCTTTGTTGTTAAAAACAATTGAGAGTTTGAGAAGAGGAAAAATGAAATGAGAATAAACACAACTTATATTTTGAGTTATTCTACCACTGTTAACAATTTGAGAGACAGCAGTAGCCACAGCACACATTTGAATAGCAACATTAATCCCTTTTTATAGAATCAGAGCATACCACACTAGCTGCAACGCGGGCTCCTGGTAAAACCAAGGTAAAGTGTCCTGAAGCTACTACCTAAGCGAACACCCACACCGAGCCTGTTTCATAGCATGTGAGCTACACAAGCCCCAACACTGTAGTGTGTCAGAACTATGACTACATTTCAATCACAGAATCACTGAGACCGATTTCTTTTCTATGCTGTACATGGCTGTGTTAAGCTCTCATTTTACTTGTGCGTAGATTTAAATGAAATTCTCACTGAGCCTCTCTATGTAATGACTATCAAACTCTCCTTCAAGAGCAGCAGAACGGACAGGAGGGTGCCAGCTCTTTTTCCCTAATCATTCCAAAGGCTACTCAAAGTGGTCTTCCATCAGGAGGAACTGATTGCCCTTACTTCTGCTGAACTACTTGTTTTTTGGGAAAAGATAAAACAGGTGTACGATACCTTGCTTAATACAAAGCACAATAGTGAAAAAAAACTTATAATTCATCAAGTCCAACTAGTAGGTATAATAAAAACTACATTTTCAATTAAATTCAACAATTTACTATCTAACCTGTACCTTAAAAAACTCTGTAACATCCCCCCAAATCTTAAAAACTTGGAATGAGTTGTTTTTTAAAAATATACATAAAAAGCTACCATAAAAATAGAAAGCAGAAACAAAGATCAGAGATAAAAACAAAAAATCAAGTCCATGGCCCACAGTGCCGGCCCTGCTTGTCCAGGTGTGCTTTCCATGCACACGACTGGGAAACTGGCAACTCCTGTGCATTGTATGTGGGGACCTATGAACCAGAAACACGTATTGCACACGTAGAAGCACATGTAGCACGGTCCCTAATAGCATGTACTTCTCAGAACCGTGACACTTACAGGACTTATGCCAGGACGAATTCTGTTTTTCTTCCTGACTTTAGACATGTTTTTACAGCCTCATGCCACTTGCTTGGTCTCTACCATGTTTCTCCATCACAATAAACATCGCAACGTCAAAAGGCGCCTTCCTAAATGCAGCTCGTTTGGGTTTTATTCATCTTCTCATGTAACATGCTTCTTCCTATGGCTCTCATATAGAACCCTCTAATATTTTTCTTAAATTGTCAGGTTTATGATGCCTTCTTAGTGCTTCTGACCTTTCACTTTACTTATGTTTTTGTCATCTCTTATTTCTTGTCACATGTACTCATTCACACTTATTCATTCATAAAAATTTTAGAGTAGTGACTCTTGGCCAGACATCGTGCTGCACTTTGTGGAAGGCGCAATGTCGAGTAGCGCACAGCTTAGTCGGAACACAAGTCAAAATAAACAACTACAATATACTGTGATAACTGATATAACAGAGGAATAAACCAAGTAATCTTTTTTTATTTGCCTAAGACAGGGAAGGATTTCATGCAGGAAAAAATATTTGAGTTGAGTCTTCAAGGACAAACAAGAACTCCTATACTTGACTGCAGAAGAGGTAGAATGTATATGTTAAATATAAGACCTCGAACAAACAAACAATCAAATCTGCGTCTATGTCCTTTGAGAAACATCGATGGTTGAGTGGACAACAAATAACCTGTCGAGGGGAGCAAACCTTAATGACACAAACAGAAAAGGGAGCCAGTCTGGAACGTACATGTCCTGAAATACTGGTGGATATGACTGAAAATTAGTCCATTAATATTTGCCCCCCATCTACTTTCACTAATAGGTACTAATATATGGTCACAGAAAAAGGACCCAGATGACATCCACTCTGGAATGTAGCTCAGTTTTGCTACTGCATAGTAAGTAAGTGAATAAATATGTATGTATGCCTACTATGGATATAGATTTTAAAATGTAACTATGAGGGAACTGTTTCAAATAAATTACACCTTCTTGGCTTTCTTCAGGATCCAAAACCACCATCAAGACACACACACACACACACACACACACACACACACACACACGCATATATATTTAGTTCAGTCACCTTCACATTGTTCCTGTGTTACTTGACTGAGAAAAGCAAACAAAAGCAAGTTTAAATATAGGAGTTCTTGTTTCTGAGCCAACAAGAGATTCTGCTCCTTTATCAAAAGAAAACAAACAAGACCTCATCCTTTGCTTTGCAACAGAGGCATACTTTTAGGGGTAACTAGTTTATAAATGCATTAGCAATGACATTTCTGACCCAGTAATCCAAGGCTATGTAAAACAAATACAACTAAAATTAGCATATCAGAAGATTTCAACTAGAATCATTCTTTTTCACATTTCTGGTAGTTTGAGCTACAACACTTTTTCAAAAATAAGAAAAAAATATTTCCTTAACTTCCTTATGACACATTTTTGTTAATCAGTGTAGGTCAAAACCAATTCAGGACTTTCTGTGAGCACCGCCTGGAAGGAATCTCCCACAAGGCTTCCACAAGCTCTCCGCGTCTGGGTTCCGATTCATCTTCCCGACACATCGGAGATGGACGATGTCCCCGGCTCTGGCATGCTGCACACACGCCAGGTGATGGCTTCGCACAGTGCACGCCTGGGGACCTGCCAGGCGTTCACATGCTCCCACAGACACCTCCGACTTCTCACAAGCTTCCGTGGTAGAACTGACTCACCTCCACATGATTTGAGTGGCTCTGCTAAAGAGACTCCAAGTTGAGACTAGGAAAGCATGGAGAGTATCGTCCATGCTTGAAGTTTTAAAAAGAAATTTGGCAATAAACCCTGCTTAGACAGGAGGATCCTGGCAGCTTTAGAACAAAGGGTCATAACTTCGGCCTTCCTTTTCTTTCCCCAGAACCAAAGCCGGTTCACTGATTTATGATAATGAGAGAGAGAGAGCTTTTAATGCCTGCTGTGTGTTGTGCTAAGAGTGAGTTAGGGGCTTGTTACAAAGTGACCTAAGACAAACTGGGGTTCACAATTATCAGGCATTTGGGCGTAAGCATTGGTAGTCTCTAAAGATTCTAAACATGTGAGGGCTTTTTGCTGTGTATAAAAAGCCCGATGAGTAGGAATATTTCTATCTTGTGGGCTGAAACCCAGAGGTGAAAAAGCAAACCCACAGCTCTATCTTGTGAGCTCAGCAATGTCCCAGGTGTCTGTCTTTAAGGTACTCTGACAGTAACCTGCATGGAGGTGTCCTTACAGCAGATGGGACAGTATTCTACTGTAGAATGTGTCTAACCTTCTAATCTGATTACCCAACAGAATCCTACATATCTGAAAACGGGACCAAATGAGTACTCAAGTTAGATGTTACTTCAAAAGCTACTGGCTTGCTGGCCTTGCCTGACTCAAAGTCTATTAACATAAAATACTTCTAAGGCCAATCCACATAGTTTCAATATTGCTCATTTCACCAATTATTTGTACAATAACATCCTTAGTATAACCTTCCTGTGTAGATTTAAAGTACCTGTCTCTGGAGTGCAGACTTCTAATTAGGGTCTTCCAAATATTAATTAACCTATCCTAGTGAGGATTTGTGACTGGTATACGTGGAATGCTAAATTAACAACTCCTAAAAGAAAGTTAAACCCATAAATATTGTGATGTATATGATAAAGTAATTGAAAGTAAATTATGGACAATATAAAACATTACACAAATTATCATTAACTCTGGTACCGAATGATCCAGTAACTATGCCACAAAAAAAGTAAAGAGAGTGCCTACTTTTCCTATTTTTTGCATAATAAACTTAAAACTCAGAGAGCTATACATGATGTATATAAGGATAATCGAGGAAGACAAAGTGTATAAGGACAAAGATATATTCATTAAGCGTAAGCCTAGTGTTTTCATGGGTAACTAAAGAAGAGGAAGTGAAAAAATAAACATACTCCACATAATGGACAGTTGAGTGCACAGCCAGCTAGTTCAAAAGGCAATACAAAGCAACCGATATTTGTCAGGGTTCTCCAGAAAACCAGAACCAACAGGATGTGTGTGTAATTATACATATGATATTATATTTGTATTTATAGTAAACTTGATTGATTTTAAGAGATTGGCTCATGGGATTATATAGGGAAGCTGACAAATCCAAAATCTGCAGGGTAGGCCAGCAGGCTGGAAACCCAGGGAAAAGTGGATGCTGCAGTTGGAGTCCAAAGTCAGTCTGCTTTCAGAGCTCCCCCGTCTTCATGGGAGGTCAGTCTTTTTCTGTTAAGGCCTTCAGTTGGTTAGGTTGGGCCCACTTTGAAGACAGAGGGCAATTTGCTTTCCTCAATTTAAATGTTAGAGTCATTAGAAAACACCTGACAGAGACATTTAATATAGTATCTGACCAAATACTTGGGCACCATGGCCCAGTCAAGTTGACACATAAAATTATCCATCACAAATCCCTCAAAATACAGTATCCTCTGGCTTGAAAAATGACTCTTTTGACATCTGAAAAAGATAATATCTTAATGGTGTTTTTCTCATATCATTTGGACTGTTGTAAATTTCCATATCCGCAGATATATTTGTAAAATATATACAAAACCCATGATAAAATAAAATACACATTTTTGTATTATTATTGGCACCAACTATTTCATACTTGTAGATAATTAACAGCCAAATGGAGGATGTAACCTCTTCCAATTTAGAATAGCTATGGTTGACTCTGAGGGAAGATAACTAACATATATGGACACATTTAATAAAAGAGGATTTCAAGATAAGTGGAGCTTTATTAAGGTCAAATATATAGAAGTTATTAATGATACAAAGTGATTAGAAGGCCCTATATCACTTCTTTTTGACAAGATAGAATTCAATTATAAATAGTATCATTAATCTGCAAATATGTGGTTGTTGAAGTACTTAAAAGTTTTTAAACATGAGTTTAATTTCTCCTTGCAGAAACAGTTTATGGCATTAAAGTAATCAGGAAGAAATTCCATCATAAATAAATAAAACCGAGCTCATTCTAAATCTGACAAATTCTAAGACAGTGAAGCTCAAATTGGTGAGTTTTTCCAGTAGACAGTTCAATAGAAAACTGGGCAATTGCACTGATGCTCATGTTTTTCACAGTATTTTTTCAAATTATTATAAACAATTAAACATACCAATGAGGAATTAGCAATGTTCTCTTTCAGTTCAACCAGGCTTTTGGTTTAAATTGGAGACATATGCTTCACAAACTGACAACTGGTAGCCAGCATGAAATAAATTGGGGACATTGGTCCAGTTCCCATTGGACAGGTGCCATCACCACAGAAAAATTCACTAACCGGCATCGACTGGGGTGGGGGATGGGCTCATATCCTAAGAGCAATAGCTGACTTCTCATTCACAGAAGTTAATACTCGTACAGATGCAACGGGATGAGTTAGTAAGTCAAGCTCTGTTCTAGCATTTGTCTTAGCAGTTGATACTCATTAATTCTTTCACTACCAGAGCCAGCACAGCATGGTGTTTCTAATGCCCTACAGAGGGAGATTATTTTGAACTTCCTTCACAGAAAAACAGGTGGAGGGAAGTGCTATATAATGTGTGGGTGTTGAGGTTAAGAAAGGAGCAAGGAGGACACTGGTCACACCAAAGAGCATCTGAGAGCTTCTCAAGGCTGGGAAGAAAACGTGAGTCTTTCCTGGAGTAGAGGAATTCCTCGGGTATAGACGTTTATACTCTCCCACGCCAAGCTCCGAAAGGTGACCACACTTCTTCTGGAAGGACTAAAAGGATATCATGAGAACTAAACACTAAATTCTAAGTTCTCAGGAACCTTGAGAAGAGGACCTCATCTTAAGAATTTGCCTAGAAACAGAGAAAAATAGCCTTGAAGGGAACTTAACCATTTTTTCAAGATCATCAAAAGTAACGGCATGGGTTAAAGGCAGAGGGGCTTCTAACACAAAGAACTCTGTAAACAAACTTCCAGAAATTATGCATATACCCAGGGTGGTTGAAGATAATGCTAAAACACAAAAGACATTAAATGAAAGAGTGAAATAGTAGGTAAGAATCTCGAGAACATTAGAAGAAAGTAATGTGATTGTAAAGCATCCTAGTGGTAGCTGAGCTAGAATGGATTCCTACTCCTTACATAAATGTGTTAATGAACACACCATCACTACACACCAACAATGATGGTCTTTCATGTGTCAACTTGACTACACTATAGTCTCCTGTTATTTAATCAAACACTAGTGCTTGCTTCAGTAGCACATACAATAAAATTGGAATGATACCGAGCAGATTAACATGCCCACCATACAAGGATGATGACACACAAATCTGTGATTCCATATATATTTTTTGGAACAAAATAGTAGAAAACATTGAATCGGAGCAGCAAGAAGAGAAAAGAATGTTTACAAAATAAGGGTGCTTTAAGAGACCTTTGGGACAACTTGAAACACAACAATATCAGCATCATAGGGGCACAGAAGGAGAAAAGAAAGAGCAAGGAACTGAGAACCTATTTGAAGAAATAACGACTGATCACTTCCCTAACCTAGTGAAGGAAAAAAAAAAACAACACACAAGTCCAGGAAGCACAAAGTCCCAAACAAGGTAAACACAGAGGCCCACACCAAGATACATCATTAACTAAATATGCAAAGGTTAAAGACAAAGGGAGAATCTTAAAAGCAGCAAGAGAAAGACAGTAAGTTACTTTCAAGGGAGCTCCCATAAAATGGTCAGCTGATTTCTCAAGAGAAACATTCCAAGTCAGAGAGGATTGGCACAAAGTATTCAGAGTGATGAAAAGCAAGGAACTACAACCAAGACTACTTTATCCAGCAAGGCTATGATTTAAAATTAAAGGAGAAATTACAAACTTTCCAGACAAGAAAAAGCTAAAGGAGTTCATTACCACCAAACCAGTATTACAAGAAATGTCTGTAATGAGTGAGAGAAAGTATGTGGAAGACATTCTGGGAGAAAGTATAGCATGTACAAGATAGGAATGAGAGAGTAGAACAGAACTATACGACAGGAAGTAATTCAGTACGGCCGAACTGGAGTGGTGAGTGAATGACAGGAGGTGAGAATAGTGATGAGATGAACAACAGTGAGAGCTTTATGACACATGATCTGTTGTGTGAATAAAATTCACATGCTCAAACCCTGAAAGAGAATGGAGGATTAGGAAGATGAGAAGGGGCCAGAATCAGAAGAGAGGTGAGCTAGGAGCCCTAGGAATTCTCTCTCCCCCCTTTCGGAGGACTTAGTGGAACCGTAGGCCCTGAAGATATTAGGTGACTTTCCCTAAAGTGTCGTTTGGGGTGGGTCCAGTTGTCCACACAACACAGAAGGGAGGCAGACAGATGGGCTCACTGCCCCTGCAGAAGGACAGGGACTCGAGAAAACAGAGGTCATCAGGCTCAGAGGAACGTGAGTAAACCAAGATCCTGAGAACTGAAGTTCTGCTTCCAGGGTCAGCCAGGACAACAGAGGCAGGTGAGTGACAACAGCAACAAAAGACCTGCCTCTACTGAGTATATCTGTGACATGTTTAGGGTGTAATTACATAGAAATCATGAAAGGTAAAGGTTTGCCTAAAATCCTGCACTTCACTTGTGTACTGGTCTCTGAAAAGAGAATCCACTCATTAAGTTTTATCACTCTCTACCAAGAATCAAATAATAAAAACAAAGGCTGCATAATCTTCTAAAATCTCAAACAGGTTCAAATGCTGATAGCACACAGGGAAAGAAAAAAAAACTTCTAGCTAACATTTCTAGCACCAACTGAGACCTACTTAGCCAACTAAAAATTTAATTTTTGTAAAGGTCATGAGTGACATATGGCTAATTGTTAAACTCTGCAAGCTGAGGCCAGACATCACATGGTGGAAAAAACTGAAAAACAAGACTGAAACACAAATCACCAATTGTTAGGCAATGTACATATACCCAAGGACACTGAAGCAAGGGTACAAGGCTGAGCTTGGAAAGCCAAGACTAGATGGGAAAGGAACCTCTCCGACCAGCTGCGATCCAATATTAAATCAGTCATGTCCCTCCACAAAGCATGAAAGACTCTGCTTTCTTATAAATGAGCTGTCCCTTCCATTTAGACTTCTCCAAGAGCTAGAGTCAAATGCAATCGACTGTTTCTGGATCATCTTTGACAATGTAAACATACATGATATCTACAATTGGATCTGTCTCACGCTTCCCTTATTTATAGCCAGAACCTAAAGGGCAGGAGCACTTTATAGGGGAACGTGATAATCAGCCATCTTTCAGAACAGGTGGAGGACAGTGCCGTCACATTACTCTTGGTGTGTCTGGGGTGGCAGCTGCCATCCCCTCCATTACCATAGGATTAATGGTCAAATCCGGGGATCACTGACCCTTGAATCACACTAACTTTCACCTCTCACATATATCTTGTAAAAGAAATGACTTTGTAAATACCATGTGTACTGCTGTGCTTCTTCAATCAATTGTCTCCACAACCTCAGAAACTGTCCATAAAAAAGAAGACGCCAGCAAAGCTAAGTGGTGATGTGTTAAAAAAGGGTGAATGCTCTGTAAACAGAGAAGAGGATGCAACAGTCCCCGCCACTTGGATCCCTGATTCCACAGACAGTATACACTCCAGATGAGTGTGATACCTTCACAGAAGCGCCTCAAAATCAAAGTGCCCTGAAACAAAACTACGTGTCTCCCATCCTGTGCCTCCTGTAAGGTCGCTCCCGTTTGATATGAGCTGGATGTTTGGGGTTATGTGGGCTCAGAAAGGCAGTCAGTCATGTAACTTGTCTTCCTCTTCACCTCCCAATACACCCCTCACTTAAAATTGGTTCAAATTTCCCGTTGATTTTATCTTTGAAAAGATTCTCGTTCTCATTCCTTCCTGACCACTCAGATTCCTAACAACCACATTATCCTACTGCACAGTCACTGCCTTCTGCTCTTCTCCAACGTAGTGCACACCACTCCTAAGCACCACTCCTGAAGTGTGGCTTCCGTCATGGCACTGTGGGCCAGGACCACAAGTGGGAGACAGGGCCAGGGTGGGGAACAGAGAGGGAGGGTGAATTTACGAGTGAGGTTGCATTTCTGTACTTTCCAATTTTTTATAGTGACTAGGAAGTACTTTCTAATGGGAAAGGACACTCTAAAAAGCTTCCTAACAGTCTTCTTTCCCTCAAGAATAAAGCTCAAATATTTTAGAAGAACATCAAAGTTCTCCAAGATCTGACTTCTGCCAACATTACTAGCCTTTACCTAACAGTACTTCCTTTCACTCACTTTATGATATAAAAACATACTACTTTGTTATATGCTTACAAAGCTTTCTTTCATATTTGCATCTGTCCTATAGAATTATCATTTTCTGCTACATACTGTATTTATCTGTGACCACATTTTCTATTGAAATAAGCTGTCAGCTCCTTTGTGTGGGGTAGTCTTATTCATCTTTCTATCACCTACCAGTTTGGGGTTTTTCCTTGTTTTCTTTTCCCAGCTTTATTAAAGTATAATTAACAAAAACTGTATCTAATAACATGATGTAACTATTGAGCAGCATGATGTTTAATGTACAGATACACTGCAAAATGTTTACCACACTCGGTATCACCTACTATTAACAGTATGATATCTTAAAGGCAATGGGTGTTTTATCATCGTCAGTGGTCTGTATATGAACAGCATCTTAATTCAGAACTGCTTCTGAACAAAAGAAAAGTGACCTTTAAAAGATAAAAGGAAGCCCCAATCATAAAAGGCTTTAAAAAACTTACAACTTCAAAATGAAGAAGTCTTTACATATACAAAGCTGGGGATGACCTTTACTGGACATCAAGTAGCTAAGTAAACCTATTATAACACCCATTTAGTATAATCCTTGACAAGGCCATATTTTAGAAGAAATGGCTTAGTAACAAGGTTGTAATGAAATCAAGTATTACCAAAGGATAAATATTTGTTACTAAAATTAATTTTATATTCTATTATAGAAATATGAAAAAAGACCACTAATCTCCTTTATTAAAGTCCAGTTAGCTCCAAGAAATTTTTTAATGCTCCCTTTTTTGATCAGTTTAGTATGACTGACAAGAGAAGTCACTTTGGTAGAACTGATCATTTTTAATAGATTTTAAAATGCTAATGTAAAAAGTGTATTGGTAGGAATAGGACAGTTGAGGATAATTAATTTTATTGGTTATGAAAATTTATAATTTGAGAGATATAATAATATGGAATATTGGCTTCTCTGGTTGCAATGAGGAAGAATTTAAAAGTATTTCAGTTGTGGTTAGACACTGAATTAAATGTCTGTGTATATAAAAGTGGTTGGCTCCCTTTATAGCCTTGAGGCCAGCATCTGTCCGTAAATAATTTGGGGTCAGTTAAAGCCCCAGTGTGCCACAACTGTGGCAGACTCGCTGATTAAAATCCAGCAAGTCACTTTTACAGTTCTGCATTCTGGTCATGGTTGTCCACCCATGAGAGACTTCATTTGATGGTGCTTCTCAAGCCAAAAACAAAAACAAAACAAAAAATCAAAAAAACCCACAAACAACCCACTCTAGACTTGAATAAGAGCTCAAGTCTAGAGCCCTGGCTGTCATTGAGTGTCAGGGGATTGAGTGCCCACTGTTGAACCAAAGCGTCGCTGATTCGATTCCCAGTCAGGGCACATGCCTGGGTTTCGGGCCAGGTCCCCAGTAGGGGGTATGCAAGAGGCAATCACACATTGATGTTTCTCTCCCTCTCTCCCTAAAAATAAATAAATAAAATCTTTTTTAAAACACCTAAGACTACCAAAATCTATCCCCATGTCATCTCCACCCACCACGCTGACTTTGGGAGGGTAAGTGCATGTGCCCCATGTCCTAAATGGGATGCACTCAGGCGCCCATTCTCTCTTGTGACTCAATCTGATGTAGCCAAAGCACTTAGAAGCAAAGTTTGTAGGAAAACTGTGCCTTACCTTTTCATTTTGGAAGAAACAAAAAGAACTTTCAAAATACAGTACTCAATTCGTTGAATATTTTGGAAGTTTATTATGACAATATCCTCCAATATTCAATTACTTCCTTCTTCTCCAAAACTCTTGAGTCCTCTATCAAACATTTAGTACTTATATCCCACCCTGTATTTGTTAATAATATTGCATGTGCTTAAATCTTATCACTATCTGGCCTTTTCAACACACGTCTATCGTCTTACTCCTTACTGCATCTCCAACACTTAACATTGTACCTGACACAGGGTACCTACGCAGCAGATGTTTGGTGATGGAAGTGCCTTATAAGGGCAACTGTTTGATAAACAGGTCTTTTGGAAATTCCAA